CACAAACACAGAGAGAGAGATCCCACACCAGGCCACTGGTCCATGTCTAAGGTCCAAGCATGCGCGCTCCACCTGTGCTTCGGGCGACGATTATTCCAGGAAGTAAAAACCAATCAATCTGAACCTTTAAATTGCCTACCTCTAATTTCTCGATTGCTGTGAATCGTCTTTGTCTTCTCTCTTTCCTCCATCTCTTCCATTCGGTTGATTTCTTTCATCCTCAAGGACTGGTTTTTCAATCCATCCTTGCCAGCCATTCTGTTCAAAAACTTCTTTTGTTAAAATGGTGGCATTTCCTTGCTTGCTTGCTTTCGGTGGCCTTCCTCCTCCTTGTCTTCCTCCTCCCCAGGCGTGTAATGGGGTTATTTTTACTTTCGGTTATCTAGCTTTATGAAGACTTGACCCCACTCATACAGCTAGATAACCAAAGATAACAACCAACCCCTGGGATCTACTCCACTAGCAGGCGGGAAGGATGTTCCTTTTTTCTCTCTCCTCCATTTCTGCCTTTTTCCTGAGGCCCGGAAGCTTGGTTGAAAAGGGGGAAAGGAAAATAATAATAATTATTATGATGATTTTTTTAAAAAATGCAGCAATTCATTATTCTTACAGTTTCTTGACTCCACATCACAGTGTCCGGTTGCATCACAGATGAACATTATTTTGTCTTTTTCCTGGATCACATGTATCAGATGCTGGAAGTTTGAGAGCATGGGGGTTATCCCACTTTAAAATAGATTAAAAACTCCAACCAAACACACATTCTGCTCCCTGCTACCTCAGAAAGAAAGAAAGGAAGAAAGAGGAAAAGGGAAAACAAAACAAAACTATGGTGTTTAAAATCAATACACATTAAAAAAAAACTTCCTGTGAATAAACAATGTGAGATAAATCAGAGAATCATGGGAGGCATAAAGGCAGAGTCCAGACGAAAACAATTAAACTCTAAGCTGCATTTATTTAATGGAAAAATTAGATATTTTCCTAGTGAAATCAATGGGACTTTAAAGTGTTCAGATCTGATTGACTCTTGCCAGTATTTCTTTTTTAAAAAAATTCTTTTCATCAAATAAACACACACACACACATTTACATGCCCCGGTTTTCACATAAATATTTATCGGTTTAACATAGGTTAAATTATAAGCATCATTTCTAAATGTTGCATTACACACACACACACACACACACAAAAGAGGCTTCTCCTTCGGCCTCAATCCAGAGTGGGGCTTCAGAGATTCTGTGCAAGGCGGAGAACTAAACCAGAGCCTCAGAAAAGGGGGATCCAGGAGACATCCCCTAATTTTTAACCTGCCTAGCTTCATAAAATGACTTTCATGCATTCTCGTGGCTGCCTGGATACATCCTCTGGATGAGGAGCAGGGGCTGAGCACCACACGGATGGTTCTCGTTCAGCTCCAGTTTTCTTCCTCCCGTCAATG